ATATCATCCAAAATTTACCGGCCGATTTTCAACTCACAACTATCAGAATATTCATCACAGAAAGAACTAGCGTCTGTCAAAAAGTCCTGACATCTCAAGATAATAAATTGAGGTCAATAGCAGACTCGAAGGACGAGTAGCTCCACATCACCCAAAAACTACCAGCCGATTTTAAACTTGCACATGCCAGAATATTCCCCACAGAAAGAACTAGCGTCCGTCAATAAGTCCTGACCTCTCAAGATTTCTCTTCAGGGACAAACGCGGGCTCATAGAACGGGGAACTCTTATATATACACACATATATATATATATATATATATATATATGTATATGTATATACATATATATATATATATATGTATACATATATATATATATGTATATATATATATAATCATATATAAATATTGCAACTCGCAGTTTCTTGGTCAAGTTGACCTTCCTAGGGTAAAAAGATCACTGACCTTAAATGAAAACCCGGGATTTTTGTTTTACATTCCGGACATTAAAAAATCCACCAGTTGTACAGTTAACGTTGTTCCGGCTAAGCATAAAAATATCACAGATGCATATTGTGCTCTACACCATCGTTGAGCCATCCATAATCCTACTCGCATGCCACCTTGACGTCAAACATAAACGTCCCAAGAAAGCAACGTAAATGGCACGACACTTACGGTGACTAAGCAGACAGGTATGGGCCGAGCGCTGTCGGCCCAGCGCACAGGTACGAACTGAGCACGGCCGGCCTCGCAGACAGGCACAGACCGAGCACGGCCGCCTCTGCGCGACAGGTACAGACTGAGCGGCGCGAGATGAAGGTAGACATGCAGGACGAGCACCACGCATTTGGTGCATCTAACGCAAACAATAACTGCAGCACCCAACAGACTCGCCTCACCCGCCAATCGCCACCCACTCGCACCACCGGCGGTGGTTCGATCGAGGGGTGCGGTGCCGTGTGAGATCAAAGTGCGTTTGTAACGGCTTGGCACGTAGATAATCACGCCGACACTAAATTTTTCATTCGAGTCTCTGATCATGTACATTTGCCACTGAAAGTTTATTCTCTAGCAGTGCGAATGCAGATGTTTCTTACGATACGTTCCTTCCTTACGACTTCCCGATGTTCATGCCGTCCTATTGCGAGTAAGTCTCGTGTACGCGTCTTCACTTTTCAGGTAGTTTCATTCCACTCGCGTTGCCACATAAAGCACGTCATCATGCTCGTCTTTACCTGTGAGCAATCGGCTCATTGGCTTTGGATACCTTCTGCCAAAGGCTTTTTTCTTTTCTGTATGAGTAAATCGATATTCCACTGGCCCCTCAGCAATACCTTTAGGTACTGCACCCAATGACGTCACATGAACGCCAAGCGAAGATAAAGTGAGGTCACGAGACAGTTTCATCATCTCTGGTGAGGCCTTGATTGCGCGTGAAGAAACAGGAAGAGTGCGGGCAGGTGTTTGGTGGGCGGTGCGTAACCTCTTGCCAGCCAACCGAAGGTGGTGTGGGTATTGAGCCCGGATTGGTAAATTCTAAAAACTGCGAGTGAAAATTGCGCTTAGATGCTTGTATATTGGAAATTTCCGTGCTGGTGGGCTTACAAAGCCTGAAACGGTTTCCGGCCGCTTTTGCCGCACTTGCCGCACATGTTTGAGAGGCAGGCTCTTTAGGGGAGAGGGTTCTGGATATGTGGAGTGACTGAAGCCCCATGTTTTCAAGCAAGAGAGTGATTCATGCATGGATGTTATACAGGAAATCTGCTGACAATTGTGAGATGCCTGCATGTTGAAAGCTCTCATCATTGTGGGGCTGGCATGAGATGATGCTAGGTCATGGTGCATGTTGTCTTATTCAGGATGGAAGCTAATTTTCATTTTAAAAATGGTCATAAAAGCTGAACACAGAATTAAAACACTCCTGACATTGTTGTCAACTATGGACCTAATGGTCAGTATTTTTGGTGGGCAGGAGAAGTGTGACATTTTTGATGTGATGGATTGAAACATTGCGAAGTATGGATACATAAATGTGTGGGGAACAATTAGAAATGGTAATACTACATTTGAAAACTTGCTTGTGTTGAACATTGAAACCTATTATTTCAATAAGCTCCTGATTTGCGCCAGTTTGTAACAGTGAAACCAATGTGTGTTGTTAGTTATTAAAGTAGTTCTGGTTTATCAAGTTAAGTGCTGGCTGTTGTGCCCTGGCCATGGTATGTATCATGATATTTTTTGTCACTCACAGTTAAAAACATGAATGCTCAGCTCATGAAAAAATAAATAAGAAGCATTCCATAATGCCAGACATATTAGATGCTACCAGAAAAGCATCTCTTGCCCTGCCTGTTTGCCATTAATGCTTTATGCTTTATTAGCAGAAAATAGCTATATTGGATATTGGATGGCACACCTATATTTGTTGTCTCTGTGAATATTTCTGTTCTTGGGATGTGGATGGGGGGCAGTGTTGAGACAAGAATGTTAAAAGTTCATTCAAGGAATAAGTTGTGAGGAGATGCAGGAGATGCATTTACTCCATTAAGGTACTGGCTATTCATGATATGGATGGTTGAGAGGATAGGATGCTGAAGCTCCAGAACTTTTTGTGAGTCTAGTGATGCTGAAAAATTATTCAAGTGTTTTGACATACATTGCTCTTCTTTTTTGCAGAATCAGCAAGAAGACAGAGATGTCAAGGGCAAATATGGATTGCAAAGTGTATGTTGGTGACCTGGGTAAGTTACTTGTGCTGTTTTTTGACAATAAATGTTTCCTCCTTTGATGTAAATGTGTCTATTACCCATGTGTTTACTGAAAGGCATCATAAATTGTATGAACAAAGCCAGGGTACTGACTTGTGTGTTATGCTTCATGTTGTGATAATAATAAACTTGATGTCTTACATCCAAGCAGAAACATTGTAAAATAATAAGATTGGTAGGGAAAGAACACAATATTTTCTCTGCTTGGTTTATTGGAAATTGATAATGTTCTCACTGGAGTAGAGTGGAGGTGGATACTTTTCACTAACATATTGCATGCTATTTTTTTGCAGGGAGCAATGCTTCTCAGACTGAGCTGGAAGATGCTTTCTCTTACTATGGACCGCTGAAGAATGTCTGGGTGGCCCGAAATCCGCCTGGGTTTGCTTTCGTTGAGTTTGAGGACCCAAGAGATGCCCGTGACTCAGTTCGAGGACTGGATGGAAGGTAATTAAATCTTCTTTGAGTGCCTGGCATGGTGTGGTGTGGTTTTCAATATGCCCCCAGTGTACATATATATATATATATATATATATATATATATATATATATATATATTTATATATATATTCAATATGCCCTCCCCATGCTTGCTGAATCATTTGACTGGAAACACCTTATGTGTCTTGCAGACTTAACCAGCAGTTTTCTTGTAGTGGGACCATGGCATGGTTCCCAGTTTGTCTCTCAGTTATGCAAAGCTCTATCAGTAGTAATGTGCTGGGCCCTCAAACTTTGCTGAACTCAAATAATGTACAGTGGAGGGTTGAGTGTGTGTGTGAGGCTGGAAAATGGATCATTATGGGAGGAACTGTGTCAAATTGTTGCATGCAGTTGATTGGAATATCATGATGTTCTTTGCTTAACTGTTTCAGGTGATGTAAAATGCAATAGGTGCACCTGAGGTTACCTGTTTCAATTGAGCATTATATTTGCCCCACAAAACTATTGCTTACCTGTGACCAGGGCTGTAAAGGCATGTGTGTGCCCTTTGTTAACACCTTATTGGAC